AACATAATATATATATATATATATATATATATATATATATATATATATATATATATATATATATATATATATATATATATATATATACATATATATGTATAATATATATAATATACATATATATAATTTCAAGCATTTTTTACATTGTAATAAGTCAACTTTATATAATATTGGGATATTTTCTTTAAAAAATTAATTCGAGAAAGTTGTTTATTTCTATTTTTCTATAATTATATATTTCATATATAATTATAGATAAATATTTATATAAATATTTGTTTTTGGTACAAGAAATTTGTAATACATTTCTTAATCAATAAGTTAATTTTCTTTTTATTTTATTTGGATAATGTAAGATAATTTCAATCAATTCTATCATATCTTTATGCTTAAATTTCTGAAAATAGAATTTTATGATATTTTGAATGAAATATTATATTTTAAAAATTATTCAAGCTTTTCATAAAAAAATTCTCTATAAAAATATACTTCAATATTATATTATCTATAAAAAAAATTATTTAATGTTTATTGATTGGATTAGAATGCTACCAATTACATGATATTTTACACAATTTTCATTAAATATATTTTTTATTTTTTCATTTATTACAAAATGTAAAAATATAAATATCTATATTTAATTGTCTGGAGGACTTGGCAGTATTTCAGGCGATATTCATAGTAATCCTACACGTGTGTTTTGTAATACGATATCTTAAGTAATATTTTGAAATGGAATTGTAAAATGTAATAGTAAATTGTTATTGCTGTTTAAAGACAGTGATAGTGAATACTATTTCAAAGAATATCTATTTATTTGTGATATATGATAAAAAAAAAGTATTTTTCAATGCGAAAAGTCAATCATATAAACATAATTTTTTAAATTACATAGAAAATTTATATAAGTTCATAATTCTATAAAAAAAAGTAGATGTGAAATTTGACGTGAATTGTTTTGAAACTTGGCAGAAATAAAGATGATATCTTCTAAACTCTGTCAAAATAATTAAGATGTGTATTTTATTGTTAAACTTCAACTACTAATAACATTGTTCAGTGAAAGAAGACGATATGTCATCTGTGCCTTGTTCCTGCGGACAAATCTCAATATTAATTGTATATATGTAAATCTCATGCATAATTTTCATAGTCAAATCAATGCCTACAATTAGTTTTTAAGATATTCATCATTTTATAAAAAAAGAATAAAGCATATATGGCATATATTATAATTGCATGTATGTAGATGTAATAGAATTACTAAAGACACGTGTCCTTAATGCTGCCTAATTGGTTATTATAAAGTAAAATATATAGCCCAAATTGAAAGCAATGTTTGTAGATTCTATTGGTGGATCAAAAAAATAATTAGCATGAAATGGACATCCATTTTTGTGAAATAATCGTAGTAATTAAATTTTTATTGTGATTCTTATCAATAAGAAAGGTTTCAAAAAATATATAAATTATGATTATGAATTTTATGATAAAATATAGTTGTATAACAAATTTAAAAAAAGATATCAAACAATAGGATTAAATTTATTTAAGGGGGATATTAATTTTACATAATTATATTACATAGTTATATTAAAAAAATATGGAAGTTTCAAATAAATTTATATAAAAACCATTGTGACAATGAAATACGAATATGAATATTTATAATATTTCTTGATATTAACATTTCATATAAAAATATATAGACATATGTTGTCAAAGCAAGCAAAAAAAAAAACCAAATCAAAAAATTATTTGCAAATTCAATAATTTCTTGTTTTTTTATATTACAAATGCATTTTTACTTGATAAATCAATAAATTTATATTATTGTTTTTTTAAACGAATATTTTATACTATGATAAAATACCTCTAATCTTGGTTGCAAATTTTAAAAACGATATCCTAATAAAATAAAATCCTAAATATATTATCAATTATATTATAAAAAATTATTAAATTTGTAAATAAAATTTATGTTTTTGGATTATAAAAATTGCAATGCATTTGAAATTACTCAATTAAAAATAAATAATTTGTTTAAAATGTTATAAAAATATACATTAAGATTTAATTGCAATTAATATATTCTTATTTAAATCTAAGAATTTATATAAAGAAAATAAAACAATGCTAATTGCATAATAATATTTACTCTGTTATAAGAGCCAATATTTTTAAAATATTTAGCTATTAGATTTAAAGTACAACATATTGTACATTTAATATAAATCATATAAAAAGTTAAAATATCAAATTTCATATATTTCATATATTTTCAATAATATGAAATGGTATGGCTAACATAATGTATTTATTAGAAAATACATTTATAATTTTATGATTATTGTATTAAGCATTTGTTTTTGTGCACTAATTATAGAGTATGTTAAAAATGTTATATTTTATACAACATACTTTTTAATAGAATTTTAGCACAGAATAATATAAAACAAAAATGAGAACCTGGTTGTGCTTGGTTGTGCTTTAATTTTTGTCATTGCTCTAGGATATTTTTATAAGAAACTATTATTATTCATATATATTATATTTTAAACAAAAATTTTATTATTGTTATATAGTGAAGCATATTTTTTTTATTATTTGAATATATATATTTATATAATATTTTATATTTAAATAATAATTCAAAATGTTATATTTTTTTTTCAAAATGTTAGTGATATTCAAAAATTGTAAAATATAATTTTATAATATGCTAGTATTTGTATCTTATATTAGTAGTTTTTATTTAGTATTTTACGTAATATCTTATGTGAAAAATTGAAAGTTTTGATTTCATATTTGTTACAATAATTTTTTAAAATATATAATTAAAAAAAAAAAGATTTAACTAGTAAATAATACTTCTCAAAATAAAACCATAGTAAATTTTTAATATTCACGAAAAAAATACGCTTAATGCTCAAAATAAAGTTAAATCGTTTTTGTGCAATGCAGAAATAAATATTACATTTCATATTTTTATCGTAAATCTACTTATTCAATTTGACATGTTTTTGACTGCATCTTAAACATGATTGTATATTAATATTCACTATATTATATTTAGTATACTATATAAAAATACAAATGTAATAAAACAACTTAGTTTAAGTTCTCTAAATTTTACAAAAATATTTTGCCTTGTATCTTTTTCTTATAAGAATTTTAATAAAATTAAAATTTTCGAATTATATGCGAAAGTTTTTTTATATTTTTATATTAATATATTAGAAACTATATATAAATATATGTATATTTATTTATATTTATATTATTTATATTATTTTTATTAGTATTTATAAATTATGTAATTCAAATAAAATTAAAAATTTTTAAATTTCCCAGTGATGCAGTGGCGACTTGTGGCGTTAGATGAGTAAATTACGTTAGATGTATTTATGTGGCTGTGTTTGGAATTGATAGTGTCTTCATATTAAATTACATTTATTTATTTAAGTTTTCATAATTTTTAAAACATGACAACTCTTAGACCTTTTACATGTAATGATTTGTTCAAGTTTAATAATGTGTAAGTATTAAAATATTTATCTGTATTAGTAAACTTTTAACCTAAACATGAGATAATAAATATAAAGTATTATTTTAATAACTTTATTATAAATTTTTACTTTTTTAGAAATTTAGATCCTCTGACGGAAACAGTATCCTTTAAATATTTTGTGTTCTAATATGATTATTATTTAACTATATATATATATATATATATTTATATATATTTTTCTTAATTTTAAGCTTTATAGTATGGACTTCTTTTTATACATATTATCTAGCACATTGGCCAGAATATTTTCAAGTAGCAGAATCACCAAGTGGAGAAATTATGGGTTATAGTAAGACTTTTTTAATTTATTCATTTATTAGTAATTAAAGTATTTTTTTTTCGTTTATTTCAAGTATAAATATTGAATACGAAACACAAATTTTTTTTTTATTTTTTAATATTGAAGTTATGGGAAAAGCAGAAGGACAAGGGGAAAATTGGCATGGTCATATAACAGCTCTTACAGTTTCACCTAATTATAGAAGATTAGGTTTAGCTGCAATGTTAATAGAATTTTTAGAGAAGATTTCAGAAAAGTAAGTTTAATGAAAGCTTGTTAATATATATTTTATATTTTAATATATATGTTATTATTATTGTAGGAAGCAAGCATATTTTGTAGATCTCTTTGTAAGAGTTAGTAATAAAGTAGCAATCAAAATGTATCAGCAATTGGGATATATTGTATACAGAACTGTTTTAGAATATTATAATGGAAATCCAGATGAAGATGCTTTTGGTATGTAAAATATTACTATTTTTGTAAAAGATTTATTTAAATATTATAAATTAAATATTTTATATATATTTCTTTTTTAGATATGAGAAAGGCACTTTCTAGAGATGTAAAGAAAAAATCAGTAATACCATTAACTCATCCTGTAAGACCTGAAGAAATAGACTGAATAATGTAAATATATTACTATGGATTTAATATAAATTAAACTATATAGTTATGGGAAATTTAAAAAATATTATTATGATAAAGTTTTTAATATAATATGTAAAATAAATAAATAGTCTTTTAAAGTGTAGATCCGAGCAGTTTATTCTTTTGCTGTACAATAGTACAATGCTTTTCGCGTACACCGCTCGTGCCTTTATGCATCGTTTTATGCGAATAAATAATAAATAGAAATATAAGATGGTAGGCTCAGTAGAATATTCCGTAGCAGCCAAATGATCGCAGGAAATTTCTACCACGATTGTAGCCTTTATCAGCTGCCATTTTTTCATTCTATTATATTTAGAAACTTAAACCTAAGTGATATTTACAGATCAGTGACTCTTTTTACTGCATCATAATACAAAGGTGCTAAGCACCTAAATGATAGCATTTCATTGCGTATTATAAAAATTAAAGACAAAATGTCGTTCTTGCATATCTTTGTACTGCTCCCAGTAATCTGAGGTTCGATCGTTTCTTATTTTATATAAATCTTCAATGCGCTAAACAAAGCCGTGCATAAAATTACTTTGTCTATACTGCTCAGAGAGGCACAGTCATATCAGCCTATCTCAGGAATTATAAAAGTATAGAAGTCTTGTACATATTGCACGAAAGCCCTACTTTCAACTTTTATTTATTTCTGGATACTAAAGAGAAGGAAGACATTTGCTAGTTATGTAGGACACATCAAGCAAGTACAAAACTTCTATATATGAAGGGATTATTATTTAATTGGTACAAAAATGTTGCACATATGTTATCGCAGGAACGATATTAATTATTTAAAAAAAACGCGTTCCCATTACATCTATTTGGTCATGTCCTTATAAAACAAACTTATTTGTTTAAACATTAAATAAATATAAAATATAAGACTAGCTGTTATCAAAATAATATGATAATATGTTCTATATGTCACTTTCTGATGAAAAAAATTTTTTTGATTGAGCTTTAATTCAATTAGATTTATATTTAATATTATCTGTACTTACTGTTTCTACTGTTTTTGAAATTAGTTGTAAAATATATAAAAAATAATTAATAGATGCAATAAAAGATTATATATATATGATATTTTTAGAATTAAAACAGATCATTGTACGAATAATATAATTAAAATATTGTATATAAATATACAATTATAGTAAGTACAGTTATTTTAAATAAAACATTAAAAATCTGAAAATTTTTATATTTTTATATTTTTTTTGTTCATAGCTGCAAATTAATTACAGCTTATTGTATTGCAATTAATTTGGCAAAAAATAAAAATTTCGTCGATATAATCTTACATTAAAGACAAAGGTATCGCTGCATAAGTTCTAGACAGTGCTAGACTTCTAAACATTCAGTAACTCTGATTAATTATATACATATGTAATACACCACTTCTGTTTAGTTATCTTACGCTAAATGTTTTGAATTTGGTATATAAATACGGTAGCAAAAAGTTTCAGCACAATGCTCTAGCTTTTTCAATGAAACTATTCGATGTAATTTCAGATATACTAATTTACTTAGGCAGTGTTGCAAATCGTTTTCGATTAATTTCAGTCACCCACGTTCAAATCGCGTAACGTGGACCATGAAGTTTTGCATGCTGTCAGGTATGTACACAGAAATGTTGTTTATCAAGCATCATTTCTAATTTACACAAAATGCAACTAAAATCAACTACAGCGCACATGTTGCTGAGTGTCGTCCAGAATATTGTTACGCGGATTTTTATAATACAGCCTGTAGTATCTTCGAGTATAAAGTTAGTGCCATGATAGGATCAGACTTTCGTGAATCAAGTGCTGTATTCCCCTGCTTTTTTTCCCATTGACCAGTCTTTTTTTAAGGTCTTTGGTGATCTGGCGTAGATTTTAAAATATCTGGTTGCGTTGGAAGACAGCCTGAACCTAATTTAATTTTTATTTTATCAATAAAAAATAAAAACGAAGTGTATAAAATATAGATTTTTACAAACCAGTTGTGGGTCGTAAAGTTGATTTTATGGATCTGTGAGATCCATTACGAGTTAATGTATTCATTTGTGGAGTACCAGGTAAAGTATGTCCCAAGGCATTCATATAATCGGCAATTAATAATGTTATCTCCAAAATCTGTACAAATATAACCAAGTGATATTTTTAATATTTAGAAATTTAATTTTTTAAATTAGTTTCGATATATACCTTAGGTTTCGAAAGTGCAAACAAGAGTTTCTGTTCAGCTGCACCTTCATCAGAGCAAGCAACCAGCATAAAATCATCCAAACATCCTCCAAATGTAACTATATTTGCATAATTGTAACGACACATCACTGCCATTGTTTGCAATTCTAATAGTGTAACACTATCTTCGGAAACAGCTATCCATACGGTTATTGGTTCAGTTTGCTTCAACTGAGACAAACGTGTTTATATAATTTTTTTTTTATTTTTTTATATTTCGTAAAAATATTACTAACCTTTGCTTGATAGAGTGTAGCTCCGAAGAAAGGCCATTTTCTAGTGCAAGTTAGATATATGCGTACACAATCCAGTACACTGCGACCTTTTAATGCAAGCCATTTTTCTTGCAATTTCTCTTGCAATTCTCTACAATAAAAATCCACAGTTTCAAATATAAATAATACTTGTTAATAATTCCTTTTTGTTTACAAAACACTTGCCTCAATTGTTCGGCAGTAATATTTGTTCGATATCGTACGGGATAAAATTTATCCAAAGCTTGAAGCACCAAATGATGCGGATTACTTCCTGGGCCACTTCCTCGAGCTTTGTCATTGTTATATTCTCCAAAATCGATCTGTTAGCGATTAATCATTGCATGATTATTTTTTCATTTAAAAAAATTGTTATTAGTTGTTTTAAAGGATTTGTAATTTTACCTGTGCCATTAATGACGCGAGCTCAAATGCAAGTTCTCGATTTACCGGAAATTTGCCTTGTACGACTTGTTGATTTACTTGATAACAAAGAAGAAGTCTTTCTCTATCGGTTTCCATTTTAGCGGCCTGTCTCCAATAACATCGCGATTTATACGTTAATTGTATTACTCTGGTATTTTCGAATTTTCCCGAACCCTTCTCTCTCAATGCAGTTTCCCATTTGGAGATTATATCACAAAGCTGAAATGACAAAAATTAGCGTGTGAAAATATTTTTTCTTATGTATATATAGTTTATTAATCCTTATTTTTAATTTACGAATTCTTTTAAAGTGCATACTTTTGCTTGAAGATCAATGAAGTGTTCAAGATCTTTTTCAATCGGATCGTCACTGAATAACGTGAAACCTGATTGATGAACGTCTCGGCAACCAATTTCTTGATTTAAGGTGTTTAAAAATTCTTCTATTGTTGTGCTACCATCAAAGCTTACGACCTGATACGTGCCATTCAAAAAATGAACTGGTATCGCGTGTGGCAAGGAATGATGGTAAGGATTTTTCATTAATATCGATAGAACTTCCATTCTCGAAGGTTTCACCTCTCTTCCACCATTTTGAAGCGTTCTTTCCAATGCTCTTTCACAGTAAGCTGCATATTTGCCGCATTCCGTTCTAACAGAATTTATATATTCAATTATATTCAAAATTAATTAAAATTAAAATCCAAATTTTAATTAAAACGCTTACTTGGTATCCGCATTTCTTTGCAAGTGTAACTTCAGGTACCAGAGTAGTCGATTATTTCTTGGTAGGAATAGAGAAACGGCAAGCGCGAGCAGCTGCCATCCCTGGATAAGAACGTACTGGGCGGGATTAGTTTTGCAGTCCAAAATCGTAGAAGTCGAATGGCCCTGCATGAGCGGAGGACTGTGAGAAGTGGAGGCCGTCGATTGTGCGTCCGCATTTTCACCGCTGCCATTTGCCGCGGGACTTTGCGTATCGCAGGTGAACAGCGATTGCGTGGCGCAGAGAAGGAGCTGCTGTAATGGTATGCTGGCATACTACTATATCCCTGGATTGAACCAGACCTAATCTACTACTTTTTCTTTCTTTTTTTTAATAATTCGCGCTCCATTGTCCTCGTTCATTGCTTTTTTTTTTTTTTTTTATTTTATCAGGACAATCAAGGAAATGTATTTTAAAGAACTTTGCATTTTTGCAGCTCATCGACTTCTTAATATCCATCTTAAATTATACGAGGAATTTTCGGCACAAATATTTGAATATTTTTAAACTTGATGAAACACTCTATTCGTTACACGTCATAATATAATGCCTGTTAGTATGTAAGCAATCGAAATCGGACTGATTAACGCATAACTCTATGTGTGTTAATCACATAAAACGCATGAACTGTAATAAGTCGAATGAATTAAAAGAAATGTGGATGAAAGAAGCGCTTTTGTATTTTTTAGGCCATGTGAGTCTACCTTACAGCTCGAAACTATTTTTTTCTCATTCGTTTGTCACGAATGAATTAGATTGAAATTTCTCCTTTTTAATATTTTTTTTCGAAGCTGTACTTAACGACACAATAATTTATGAAATTGTCGATCTAATCGCGTTTCTACGATGTTCGAATCTGTAAGGAGTTTTTAAATGTTACTGTTCTTTTCTTTTATTTTTCTTTTATTTTAGATTATTTTTCTTAAGTAACCGTTAATGACCAGATAATCAAAGACTAATTTTTCTAAGCAGCATTCAAAAAACAGAGAAATATTTTGTAATGAGCTATCGAGCAAAAAAACGTACGGAAAAAGAAACAAAAAATCAATCTAGTAAAAAGATGTTTTTCTGTGTGTGGTTTTTTATGTACACCAACATACCATTCTGCAAGTGTGTGTGCCACAGAACGTATTTTGACAAGTTCCGAAATCATGTTACTTTTATTTTATTAATGATTTAATCAACCGATAATGCATCGATGATAAAGTATGATTGATGAAATATTGAGTTTAATTGATTGATTTCCGATGAGAGGAATGAATTGTCGAAATATGTTCGGCTCACATGATAGGGCATCAGGGTACAGGTGATCGGGTATCATGTATAAATATTATACACAATAAAAATAAAACAAACTTAACATGATGATGTTCTATGGATAGAGAGAGATAGAGAGAGAGAGAGAGAGATAGAGAGAGAGAAAAGAAAAAAAAAGAAAAAAAAACCAAGAATCGAAAAAAACGCATGCGATTTTAGAATAGCCTAGGAAGAGCACATGTAAAGCAGCAAATGAAAATGAAATGTGAATGAATGTTAAAACTAAAATCATTCTTTGTTAAATACTTTGTCAAGTATTATTATTATTATTATTGTTGTTGTTGTTGTTGTTATTGTTGTTATTATTGTTGTTATTGTTATTATTATCATTATTAATATTGTCATTAATACTTTATTGGTTTTAAAAATAAACAACTAGTTTTATTAATTAATTGAGTTAATTACCTTATAAAAGGAAAAAAAAGAAAAAAGAATAAAGATAACTAAACAGTTCACCGCTATTTTAATGAGATTATTTTGTATAATACTTGACTAAGCGTACCCGATGTACCATTTCTTTTGATTATTCAGAAACGTATATTCAATTTTACTTATTTTCTTTTCTTTTCTTTTTTTTTTTTTTTTGCAAGAAAATATTTTTGAAATATACCATACATTTAAAATACCTTTGGGTATTTGCGTATTGACATGATAATAACGTTACGGCCAATAGATAAAAAATTTATTATGCGATATATGTACGTCGGCTGTAAAAATGGTACAGGGTTCAGAGTGTTTGTTAAACAATAAGCAGGACTTACAACGCGCGCAGTACCCAGCGACACAAGTCTGGCGGCCTTTTTTACCTGTACGCCCAAACGGTGTTGAGTGTGACGACTTGTCTGCTTTACCAATGCACATATGAATTCAGATTG